TGGAAGATGAATGAGTATAAAGCTGTTGATGAAACAACTAGTGTATCTACAAACCCAAAGGTGCATATATATATATATAACCATAACTTTAAAATGAAGCTTTTCATCAAATATATACCATATTATATATGTGGGATTTACATATAAAATATTACTCATGATGTCTCAAGACCCTATTTGGACAACCATGTGCAGTGAACTAACTATATAATATTTTTTTAAAATGTTACAACAGAGAAAATCAAAACGAAATATCCTATGATTTTGTCCGGAATCATATATATCTCTATATAGATATATATGATATATCTATATGATATAATCATAATCATATATACCTATATATATATATATATATATATATATATATATATGATATAATCAGATTTTACTTACAAGTCTATTCAAAAGTGATATATGTGGTAAAGAGTGATTTACATGTGTTTAAGTATTTGAAATTACTTATATCAAAAAAAAGTATTTGAAATTACCCAACTTAATATCATGCAATGATAAAATTAAAAATAAAAACCAAATAACCCAAAAAAGAGTCATGCATGCATATTTGTCTCTATTTTTTTTTTTTTTTTGGACAAGGCATATTTTTCTCTATTGTTTTTAATTAGGTTCATCGAATTTATAGTTTTCTACCATCCTAAGATGCATAAGTTATTGTCTATATATAAATTACTGATAATATGTAATTAGAGAAACAAGTGTTAACCTCTTTCTTGATCATGAAGATTTTAACAAAGTTTGTTGCTATGTCAATCTAGTTGAGGAACGAGTTCAGTATCTGTCGAATCTACATAAAGTCAGGAATCTCGAGGGCCTTTGACAGACGTCCCACAGAAACTTATGGGATAGAGAGAAGAGTTCCTAGCAATAGAGTGGAGTCATCATCTCGTGCTACAACATCAACCTCACTAGAAACTTCACATTCAGGAGGAAACAAAGTTGATTTATCAGTGAATAATGCTAATACTAGTATTACACAAAGCATCTCAGAGATGGTTGATGGGCTATCACAACCTTTTTGGGAATGGGAACAAATGAATTGGTCTTAAACCATATCAAATTACTTATTATGTTTCATTTGCTATGAAATATACAAAGATGTATGCTTTGTGTAAAACACTAGTTAGTAAGTGAGAAATATGTTGTGTAAAAATAACACACTACATTCATTTGCCTAACCGGATTAGTAGACCAAGCTTGAAGATTCACTATTTATTTTTTTTCTTTCGTAAAACATATTTTTGTTTTTACTTATGTCCTTTTCCTTTTGTCTTTTATTCATGGGGTTTGTTACTTATTTTTTTGTTGGTTTTTATTCAAACACACAATAGCTAAACTAAGGTTACACATTTGTTTGTTTCTCTTTCTAGTTTTTAGTGCGAAAATAAATTTACCATATATATTTACTCTTTTATTATAAGCGATCAAGAGTTTTTTAATCCGAGATTCTTACGAGAAATGCTATTTACTAGGGGTTATTTTACGAATGTGCTAATTTTGTTAAAATCTTATGGATTTGCAATTACTGAAAACTTAAAATAATCTATATTTATGTGTTCTTTTTGCTAAAAAAACATATTTTGCAGTAAACACTAAACCCTGAAGACAAATACAACCGACTAAACCCAAGCATAACGAATAAAACGTAGATTTAATCACACTTTGGTAACATGAAAAACGGCAAATCCATAAGATTTTACCAAAAATGGCAAATCAAAAAATTTGAATTGATTCTTTTTATCCTCCATCGCTCATTCCAAACCTATAAATATATTTCATGTTTGAAATTTGTGGAAATGAATAGCGAACAATTTAAACCATTGACAACATCAAAACTTAATATATGTACAAAGCCTATAACCAAAGAAAAAACTTTATTCAACATATACACACAATGGCTTGTTTTTACTCTTCTCATCCATACATATCAATCTATATTGTAACCTTTCTTCTCATCTCACAATGGTCATCAACTACCAATGCAAAACCAAACATTGCTACCACTTTATCAACAAAACCAAAAACATGTCCATATCCATCATTACTCATATCAAAAGCTTGTAAAGGCACCGCATCAATTTCGTCCCTAGAAGAAGCATGCATCAAGTCTCTAACCTTAGATCATCGCACAGCCTCCACATCAACTGCATTGGAATTGGCTAAGGCTGCTCTTAATCTTGCCATGGAGAAGGCAAAACATACACAGTTTCTCATTGGTTCTCCAAAGAAGCCATGTTTCAAGAGTTGTATGGAGAATTATAAAGATTCTGTTCTTGAGGGATTACAAAAGGCAGAGTTGTCAATGGCTAAAGGTAATGTCGATGACATGGATGACGAACTTAGTCTCGCACGTGATGCTGCTGATTACTGCAATATGATTTTGTCTGTTGATCCAGATGATACAAGGTCCTTAGTTTTTGCGGCTAACGTAGCTGTGTATAATCATATTACGTTTGTGATGAGTGTAGCGGATTTGTTGTAGAACAATTTCAAGATTCCATTCAAATTAACAATATGTTTTGTGTTATTACACAATCATTAGTATGATCTTAGAACTTCTGGTTAATGTCTATCTTGTTATTGTGTATATAGAGATTAAAAAAAAATTACATTTAAAAAGCAGACAATTACATGTGGTATATGGTATCTCTTAATAGTATTATGGAGTACACTTTTAAATAAATTTCATTAAAAGTATACATTTACATTAAATTATCATTACAAATATAGGTTTCAAAAAATAAATTAATAAAAATAGCCAAATCTGTATACTCTGCCATAAAAATGTCATATGTATATGTCATAAAAAAATAACATGTCATTAAAATAACAAACTTTTATTTTAATTTCTCAATTTCTAAATATGGCATAATTTTCAGGATAATAATAATAAATTAATCATAATCATAAATTTTAAATTATGTATATCATGTTTCATGGGTAAAGTGGATTTATCTATAGTTTTTAATTTACTGTCAAATTTTGTTTCATCTAAATATTAAAATTTCAATTCCAAAACTATTAAATTTATAAAATAAAAAGACTAATTTGATTTTTGTAAAATTGTCTTAATTCATATTTTTCAAGAATAATTATTGTAATTTTACAGACTAATAATCTATATTAACTATGATAAAAATAAATTTGGAGTTAAATACAAAAATAGAGATGATATGTTAAATTCTAATTGGATAGACAATGTCATACCTACCCTTTATATGATTCTTTCCTTTTCATATATGTACCAAAAAGATAACCCAGCTTAAACCGAACCAAAATAACGCAAACCGGACTAAAATTAACTAATAAAAGCTAGTGATCGTCCGGTTCAATTCAAACCGGATCTGTATCAAGGCTGCCTCGGGTTCGATATGACGCACCCGTTACTCGTTTTCAATTAAAACGCTATAAGCTTCGAAGCGATCCTCATAGCTTCTTCTTCTTCTTCTTCCTCTCTCACTCACCGATACTCTCATACTCTGTGATCTCTCTCAGGTTCGTGATCTTTGTTGCATTTGTCTCTCTTGATCTCCCTTAAACCCTAATCGTTTCAATCCGAATTCTCCAGATCTGATCCATTTCTCTTCTCATTGTCACAGATCCGAGGGTTCTCGTGTTTACAAGGTAATCCGATTTCTGATCTTTTTGATCGCGTATCGATTTCGAATTTTTGATGTTGTTTTTGTTGCATTGTTGATGATGATGATGATGATGATGATTTTGGTTTTCGTAGATTTGTAATCCGTAAACGTACGTGAAATTGATCTGTTTGGTTAAATCAAGTATGGCTGCTCCAGTGCCTCCAGGAGCACAGAGACCTAACAATCCGCAAAACTCTGGTCCTCCTCCTAATTTCGTTCCTGGTTCACAAGGAAACCCCAATTCTTTAGCTAATAATTTGCAGAATTTGAACATTAACCGGCCACCTCCTCCTATGCCTGGTTCTGGTCCTAGACCATCACCACCTTTTGGTCAGTCTCCACAAGGAGCACAACCATTTCCTCAGTCAGCACCTTCTTATGGGGTTCAACAACAACCAAGGCCTTCTCCAATGGCTAGACCTGGTCCTCCTCCTGCTGCAATGGCTAGACCAGGTGGACCTCCTCAAGTATCTCAACCTGGTGGGTTTCCATCAAATTTTCCAGGTGGAAGACCCGCTGCTCCACCCTCTAATCAGCCACCGTTTGGCTCTAGACCATCGACTGGTCCATTGACTGGTGGTGGGTCGTCATTTCCACAGCCTGGTGGTGGTTCGCCATTTCAGCAGCCTGGTGGTTTCCCAGCTTCAGGTCCACCAGGAAGTGTAGCTGCAGCTCCTCCGTCAGGAGCTCGCCCGATTGGTTTTGGTTCACCTCCACCTATGGGACCTCGCATGTCCATGCCTCCTCCCTCTGGCATGCCTGGCGGTCCTTTGAATAATGGCCCTCCTCCTTCTGGCATGCCTGGTGGTCAGTTAAGTAATGGCCCTCCTCCCTCGGGCATGCCTGGCGGTCCGTTGAGTAATGGGCCTCCTCCTCCAATGATGGGTCCGGGGGCATATCCTAGAGGATCACAGTTCCCAGGTGGTCCTATGATGGCTCCACCGCCACCCTATGGACAGCCTCCTAGTGCAGGTCCTTTTTCAGGAAATTCACCTTTATCTTCACCTCCTGCTCATTCACTGCCTCCGCCAACAACTTTTCCTGGGCCCCCTTATGGCAGACCACCCATGCAAGGAGGCTTTCCTTATGGAGCACCACCACAGCAGGTATATCCACTGAAGTTCATGATATATGTTCTTGTCTAGCAGTAAGTGTCCAGTCGACTTATGAATTGGTGAAATATGCAATGCCTTTATAGAGATCAAAGGTAAACCTATTCTTGATGTGACTTGTGGATCTTTCCAGAAGGGAACAATTTTAAGATATGGATTCTTCTGCCTAGTAGTAGAATAGGGGACAATAAATGTAGAATCTTTAGGTTTGTGCGATTCTTCTATTTCACAACTGATGTATTTCCTTTGTGTGACACATTATGATGGCTTTACAACTTTGAAAATTGGTAGGTACCTTCTGCTCCTGGCACTCCTGGTTCAATGTATGGCATGGGTCCAATGCCAAATCAGTCAATGACCACTGTTTCTAGCCCCGCGAAGATTGATATCACTCAGATACCAAGGCCAGGTTCAAGCTCCAGTCCGATCGTGTATGAAACTCGCGTGCAGAATCAGGCTAATCCTCCACCAGTATGTCATTTAATTCTAATTTTTGAAATTAATGTTTAATTTTAAGTGAGTGAAAAACTGCTATGTATTTCCCCTGAATCTCCTTATTTTTTTATATTTCTTGTTGAAGCCAACTACTGTTGATTATATCACTAGAGACACTGGAAATTGCAGCCCGCGTTACATGCGATGCACAATCAATCAGGTTTGTAAAGCGAAATATCTTAAGCCAAATGTAATTATTTGTGTTTGAAGTATTGATTTACTGTGTCCCCAGACCTTGGATATACCTTGAATACCTTGTATATTGATACCTTGCTTCCCTGTATCCATAGATCCCATGCACTGTTGATCTTCTATCTACATCTGGTATGCAACTGGCGTTAATAGTCCAACCAATGGCGCTTTCTCATCCATCTGAAGAGCCTATTCAAGTAACACTAAACTCTTTAACATACTACCTTTTCTGACCACTTAAGTTTCCTAAGAATTATGGTAAAAAATAATGTTGACGTTGTATTATTGAGCAGGTTGTGGACTTTGGTGAGAGTGGCCCTGTTAGATGTTCACGTTGTAAGGGCTACATGAATCCTTTCATGAAATTCATTGACCAAGGAAGGAAGTTCATATGTAACTTGTGTGGTTAGTATATAAAAGCCATAGATATTGAGTTACTGCTATATCTGGTGCAATAGCAAGTACCAACTTAAGAATTGAAAGAAATATTATGTAAATTTGGAATTCACCTAGAATTTGGACACCTTTGAATTGTTATCATTGTAACCACTTTAGGACTTCGATAATGTGGAATGTTATTGTGATCAGTTTTCTCATCAACTGTCTTTTACAGGATACACTGATGAGACTCCTCGTGACTACGTGAGTAATCTGGGTCCTGATGGTAGACGTAGGGATGCTGATGAAAGGCCAGAGCTGTGTAGGGGAACTGTTGACTTTGTTGCTTCAAAAGAATACATGGTGAGTTTGTGAACGTTTCTAATAATTTTATGCCAAAATTTCTGTGATGTCGTTATAAGATGTCAGTTTTCTTTTATCAGCTCTCAGAGAAGACCAAATTTTTTTTACGAAGTAGTCAGTAATGTATTCATATGTTTTCAGAAGATGGGAACTTCTACTAAGGCAGAAAATTATGTGTTTCTCTATTATTGCGATACCTCTTACTAATATTGATCACAGATTAAAAAATTCCCTTTATAACTTAAGTTTTGCGTTTGAGCTAAGAGATTGAGTTTTCTATGCTGGAATGAGAGTTATGTTGATTATATTGTCTTGGCTATGCAAATTTGGTTCATTGAAACCAGGTGGAGATAAATATCAGTGTCTTTTTTACAGATACGAGAACCAATGCCAGCAGTATATTTCTTCCTCATTGATGTCTCAATGAATGCGATTCAAACAGGTGCAACTGCAGCTGCTTGCAGTGCAATCCAGCAAGTTCTCTCTGACCTTCCTGTAATTTTTCTCGCCCTTTCTAATAATAGACATGGAATTTAAATTTCCTTTTTTTCTATTTAAACGGCTGAGTTGGAAAATTAGGCTAGGCTATATTAACTAGAGTAATGATTCTAAATAGATATGTTTTATTTTGTCATTATTTTAAGAAAGTCTTGTATGCATTTTGCAGGAAGGCCCTAGGACATTTGTTGGAATTGCCACATATGACTCAACAATTCACTTTTATAACTTGAAGCGTGCACTGCAGCAGGTGATTTGTTATGTTATTTTTTTCCTTGTTTCTTTTGTTAAACTATTTAAAAGGTTCAATGGGGTTATCTTTTTCTGAGAAGACCTTTCATCCTTTAGTATCACTATCATAGATGTGAAGATGTTATCTTGCGGTAAATAATTATTTTTTGATACTTGGCTGAATAAATTTATACTGCACTTGAATGCCACTTCTCTGCTGCTTTCGCTTTCCAGAATGTGTGCTCCTTTTCTTGTTAGGATAAGGTTTTGCCGACTCCCATGTCAATTTTTTGTTCTGTTTCCATGCAGCCGTTGATGCTCATTGTTCCTGATGTTCAAGACGTGTATACACCTTTAGAGACAGATGTCGTTGTTCAGCTATCTGAGGTAAGCTCTTGTCATTGTTCCGGCGGCTCCCTGCTTATATTATTTATAGTCTCAATTCCTAAATTTCTTACTTATTCTCTGTTATTCTACTGGAATTCAGTGTCGTCAACACCTGGAGATTTTGCTGGAAAGTATTCCAACAATGTTTCAGGAAAGTAAGAGTCCTGAATCTGCTTTTGGTGCAG